GTGGCAACCAGAACTGCACACAGTACTCCATCTGTGGCTGAACTAACTATATATGTATATATCTGCATCATAAACTCCTTGCTCTTGTATTCACTGCCTTGACTAATAAAAGTAGGTATCCCATATACCTTCTTAACCAGCTTATTTACTTATCCTGATGCCATCAATGATCTATAAATAACAGGGAGTGAATCTGTGGAATTCTTTACTGCAGAGGGCTAGGTCATTAAATACATTCAAGGCTACGTTAGACAGATTAAGGGAATCATGGGTTATGGGGAAAATACAGGGAAGTGGAGTTGAGGATTATCAGATCAGCCATGATCTCATTGAATGGTAGAGGAGACTCGAAGGGCTGAATGGCCTACCTCCGCGCCTATGTCTTATGCTCTTGTGAACACGCGCACCAAGGTCTCTCTCATCCTATGTACTTCCTAGGATCGTATAAGCAGCCAGGTGGGACTAGTTTAGTTTGGGATTATGTTCGGCATGGACTGGTTGGACCGAAGGGTCTGTTTCCGTGCTGTATGACTCTATGTACTCCCTGGCTTTGTTGGTCCTGACTTCGGACACCATTAAAAACTCGAGTTATTCAAAAGGCTTGTATTTTCATTGGATTTTCAGCAAGAATAATCAAATCATATCAATTCACTGATTCTGTGCTTGTTTTTATTCTTTCATGGGATTTGCACATTGGCAAAGCAAGCATTGTTATTTATCACCAATTGCCCTTGAGAAGGTGGTGATGAGCCACCTTCTTGAACTGCAGCAGTTCATCTGGAATGGGATGCAGTGATGAGTTGTTAGGAAGGGGATTCCGGAATAATGACCCAGTGATAATGAAAGAACACTACCTGCATCTGCAAAGACTGTAACAGTATGCCTTATATAGGTGCAAATATATCTTTGACACCAACTTTTGGATATAACGGTGCTTAACTGTGTCTTTGTGTATGCCAGCTGTTACTGTCAGTTTTATGCAGTAATAATGATGCTCCTTGACAGTTTTGTCTTCACTACAACTATTTCATTTTCCATCTTGATATTGGGGCATTACAACATACCTTGAATTTTTAAGCATTGTGTTATCTGTGACTGTTAGACTTGAGCCAGTTCAGAGCTCCTTTATCATTGAACTATGTGGTCATGTTCCTTTCATGGAAATTTAGTAGCCAAATAAGAATATGATTTGGTTGTCCTGTGCTAGGATTTTCATTCTATTATGTGAAAATTCACTGTGGAAAAACTGGTTTATTACCTCTTTCTCAAATTTGCATTTTCAGTGAGTTGCTCACCTATTAACAATATGATGAATATTTGCACAAATACAAAAATTAATAATTTATTGCAGCAGTTATTCTATTGAAGCTGATACTTATGGAAGCCTTATTTAAATTTTTAGAGTCCGCATGACAGCACAAGATTAGCAGGTGTTTGAGTTAAGAAACAAATTTGATATAAAGTGTAAATGACTGACAATGATTATCATCATTTTCCAGAATGGCAATGATTTTTATTTTAATCTGCATTCGTGTGCTAGATATAATAACTATCATTGCAACTGAAGGATTTAGGAATACAGATTTGGAAGATCAATAATGTTGCATCTGTAAAGTACTAGATTATCCTGTGCCAACATCGTGAAATGGAAACATGGGCAGGTAAGGTTATTTCAAATACAGAATGAGCAGTAATTTTGCATATATCTCAAACAATGACCCAGAAGCCTCACACCCAAAATGCACAGCTTGAACATACTTCCAGGTTTTTAAACCAGCACAGCAACATCACTAGACTCATGATATTCACTCACTCATACAATCCCCTCTGTCTTATAGGATGTGCTGCTGCACAAATAGAAGCAGTAGGTGCTGAGACAGGACAAGTGCATGTCCCATGAAGAAGATGGTTCTTGCTATCATTAGAGCAGCCATTGCTGATGTGGTGAACAATAGTAGGTTTCAAACCATTGTAGATGATTATCTTTATACTCAATTTTCCATCTCATATTCTAGTGTCTTTTTATGCCACACTTTGTCTAAATTAGAAACTAGAGGTGGTGAAATAGCTGCCCAAATATACCCACTTCTAATTTGCCAACCAACCTGCCATGTGGCATCATATCAAGTGTTTTCTGAAAGTCCAAATATACGGCATCCATAGCCCTACCCTCAGCTACTACCTGTGTCACTTCTTCAAAGAACTCAAACAAATTTGTCAGACACGATCTGCCTATGACAAAGCCATGTTGACTGTAAAGTATTAACTTATTTTCTTGAAATGTATATTTACCTTATCCTGTAATGTGCCCTGCATCAGTTTTCCCATGATTGGTGTCAATCTGACAAGTCTGTAGTTTCCCTAAGTTATCCTTTACCCCTTTCTTAAACAAAGGTGTCACATTTACAATCCTCCAGTACCCTCGGACTAGTCCTGTCTTCAGAGGGGCCTGGAAAATTTCTGTCAATGGCTCCATAATTTTCTTCTACGTTTCTCAACAATTTAGGATCCATTCCATCTGGGTCTGGTAATTTCTCTTCCTGGAGTGCTGCCATGCTTTTTAGCACCTCTACTTTATCTCTCGCTATACTGCTCAGTTGCAGGACACCCACATTTTCAACTAGGCTATTTTCTAATTTGGTAAAAACAGAAGCAAGGTATTCTTTTAGTATCTCTGTCATACCCTTTGCTTCAGTGAGCAGCTTACTGAGCTTGTTCCTTATGGGCCCCTTTCTACAGTTCTTTCTACAGTTTGGTTTAGTGCACCCTACCATCCTTTCCTCATGCTTCCTCTTAGCCTTCCTTATTCCAACTTTAGCCCTTCTGCTGCATTTGAGATACTCTTCCTGATTTCTGTTGCTATGATTATTCTGTTATGCATCATATGCCTCCTTTTTTTCCTTATTTTCTCATCAATATCTTTGGTCATCCAAGGTATTCTAGTTTTGGATACACTGTTTATTTCTCATCGGTATTTATTTATCATGGGTATGCACCTAACTTGTAACCTATTTGTCTCTCTTTTGAAAGTCTTCCATTTTTCATCTTGTCTTTTATCTGCTAAAATGCATTTCAAATCAACCTGCTCCAGTTCAACTTTTAGATCCCCAAAATCTGCCCTTAACCAGTCGAGAATCTTAATCATTGACTGAACTTCATCCCATTCCAACTTCATATCGATCCTTAATATATTATGATCACTAATTCCCAAATGCCTCCATACTCTGACATTCTCCACTTCACTTTCTTCAGACCAGATCCAGCATAGCTCCCTCATTGGTAGGACTGGAAATGTACTGTTCCAGAAAGATCTCCACACATTGCTGGTGATAATGATCAGCCACGGGAGTAATCGGTTAATGTTTTTTCATGCGTCATGGCATGATTAATTTATAAATACAATTTGTAATTTTTTATGTTTGGTGACTTTTGTTTTTGCAATGTGGGCAAGCAAACACTATGATAGCAAGTGACAGGGTGAGGTAAGATAAGGTGTGGAACTCTTGTGAAATGGGAAATTGTGATCATATTTATTTTTAATGGTAGCAGAATTGAATTTTTTTTATAGGCAGCCCAGGTCACTACGGACTTTGCCAATTACCTCCGACCTTTCTCCTCTTTCTGCTTTTGCTCTTCAACATCTCAACATTTAGCTGGTTGTATTCTCATGTTGGCATGTGATGCAGCATTCCTCAGACCACCAGAAAACTTGATATTTTCTCTGCCACATATTACAACACTGCTCTAGAACCATACAAGCAACGGAAGTATGTATCAATGTGGCAATAATCTGCTTGCTCAAATTTTGTCTGGCAGCATAGCATGGTATGTATGGCACTCACTTATGCCTCAGTTGTGCATTGTTTCTTGCTGAGGGTTTATCCAAATGGGCTGTTCAGGGATTGAAACCCAGCAAACAAAATGTCAAACATCAGCAGTTCAGTAAAATGATCTCAGTGAAATCTGCCACCTGCTGCAGCCACAACTGCAAATTCAAAGCGCAGCAAGGACAGAGTGACCAGTAGCTGTGAATGCTAGTGACTATGGAACTTTTATGCACAGAATCCTTCTGTTGTATAAGGCAGTTAGTATCTCAGAGTTAGTCAATATCACAAGGGAAAATAATGCAAGACAAAATGAGGGATGTTAAAGGGACAATAAAGAATCAAGAGATGGTTTTTCAGGAAGTGTAAATGACATAAGCACAGCCATTATTGACTGTTTGAGAGAATTGTCATGGTAGTTATGACCTGAGTTATTAAACTTAATATTATGGCTGACAGTTGTCATCAAGGAACTATATGTGATATTCAATTATAGTTTGAGTTTAAGCACAGTAATGCTTCCTATTGTTTGCTCTACAAAGGCAGGAATAGCGAAATAACTTAAGTTAATATTGATATGCTAATTGTGATTGTTACTAATTTCGTATTTATTTATTGTTAATGTATTTGTGGTGTAGCTTTTAACCTAATCATGTTTACTCTACTCCATCTGAAGTTTACGAAATCACAAGAAAGCTTGTGATATATCAGGTAAGCTTAACACAGCAATAAGAGATTTTATTTGACCCTTGGCTGTGGTACATTGCCAGATGTTGCACAAATAAATCACATTTATAGGGAATACTTATAAAAGTGAAGTTTATGTCTGAGAATAAGGAAAATATCTGTGTGAAATTTCAATAAATTTAGTTGGAGTTACATATGTTTTTAATACATAATAATGAATGTCCACAAAATTGTTAGATTATTTAAATCTATAACTTAGTGTTAAAAAAGAGTATTGAAAGCTTATTGTGTCATCATAGGATAAGTTTCTCTTCAATAGTAATTATTATATTTACAACTAGTTATATATACAAGATCTTTACATGAAATATTGATTAACTTAGACGATTATATCTACATGCATCAAAATCTTTATTTTGTTTAAGGTACATCATCTTCAAATCAGTCATTTTACAAAGTGTTTTTCTCTTTTCTTCCTCTTCCCCAAAGTATGCCATCTGGATGGTCCTCTGGGTCACATGGAATGTGTTTGTTATCTGCTTCTACTTGGAGGTTGGAGGCCTTGCAAAGGTAATTTGCCACCTGATGATCTGAAGCTGTTCACCCTCTAATTCTACAAGCTATTAAATCAATCTTGAGTTTTATGAAATGTTCCACATCCTGAGACATTTTTAAAGATAATCATGTCATTTTGAATAGTTTAGCACACTGAGTTAAGTCTTCAATGCAAACTTTATGGTAAAAAAAACAGGTAAAATTTACTGTAAATTCATTAATTGAGAGAAATCTGCGGGAAAATAGCATTGATTCCAGTGACAATTGCATCAGCCTTTAAACTCTCTTGATAATTTGAATTTTAATGTTTTTCTGCACTGAAGATGTTAGAATTGTGTTCTATTCTCTCCTTAGGGGAAATAAACTCCTTTTGTTGTTATATTCACGCATTAATTATTGCAATATATAAACAAGTAAATGCTAGAAGGGAATGTGAGGTACTGCTGATGGAAACATAAAACAATAATGTGAGATAATGCAGTGTAACCATTTTACCTTGCTAAAAGATTAGTTATATCATAGAATATCAAGAATTTCGTGGTTGTGTATACCGGTGAATTTTCATATGAGTTTGCCTGCCTCTCTCAAGATGAAGGGGTCAATTTGAATGACAGAGGGCAATCTCACTCCAGGTCCGTCCATTCTTAAAGGCATGGCTTACCTGGCAAGGAGCAACTCCCCAAACATACCTGAAGGTTACCTGCAAGGGCATTTCATACACCATTAGTTAACTACCAATGGAGGCTGAATATGTCCCTTAAATGCCTCAATTGATCTTGGACATGAAGAATATTCTTGAGTCTTCCTGTCTGGATCTAATTGGAGGAAGATGGGAAGACAGCAGAAACAGGAAGGCAGATTATTATCTGAATGGTGATACATTTAGAAAGGAAAGGCTGTTGTGGCGCAGTGGTTGTGTCCATACCTCTGAGCCGGGAGACTTAGGTTCAAGTCCCATCTGCTCCAGAGGTGTGTAATAACATCTTTGAACCAGTTGATTAAAAACATCTAGATTGGGAAAGGAAGAGGTGCAATAAGACCTGGGTGTTCTTGCAAACAGCTGCTGAAAGCAAGTATACAGGTACATGGCTTTAAAGCAAGAGGATTTGAGTACAGGAGTGGGGATATCTTGCTACAATTATACAGGGCCTAGGTGAGACCATATTTGAAGTACTGTGCGCAGTTTTGGTCTACTCATCTGAGGAAGGATGTTCTGCCTATTGAGGGAGTGCCAAGCAGACTGATTACCAAGGCAGGACTGATGTAGGAAGAGACATATTATAGTTAAGACTGTATTCATTGGAGTTTAGAAAAATGAGGGAATCTGATAGAAACAATACAGTTCTAACAGGACTAGAGTGGGTAAACACAGAAGGCTAACTACCACAATATTAAGCAGAAACTGGGGAATGTAAACTGGAGGTGACTGTTTGAGGGTAAATCCGTATCTGGCATGTGGGAATCTTTTAAAGGCCAGCTCATTAGAGTTCAGGACCAGCGTGTTCCTCTGAAAATTAAGGATAAGGATGACAAAATTTGAGAACCTCAGATGACAAGAGAAATTGAGAGCTTAGTCAAAAAGAGAAAGGAGGCACACGTAAGGTTTAGAAAACTGAGCATGGATAGAACCCTCGAAGAATACAAATAAAGCAGTAAAGAACTTGAACTTGAATTAGGAGACTTAACAGGGCCATGGAATATCTTTAGCAGCCAGGATTAAGGAAAATTCTAAGGCTTTTTTTTAACATATACATACATAAGGAGTAAGAAAGTACCTAAGGAAAGAGTAGGTCCACTCAAGGACAAAGGAGGGAAGTAATTCATGCAGCAGGAGATAGTCCATGAGGTCCTTAATGAATACTTTGCATTGGTATTCACAAGGGAGAAGGACATGGGGGATGTTGAGTCTCGGGAGGAGTATGTTGATATTCTTGGGCATGTTCATATAGAAGAGGAGGGATTGAGTGTTTTGAAATGCATGTAAATAGGCAAGTCCCCATGACCTGAAGGGATCTAGACAAGAATGATGAGGGAGGCAAGTGAGGAAATTGCTGGAGCCTTGTACAAAATCTTTATGGCCTCTTTATTCACAGAAGAGGTCTCAGTGGACTGGAGAATAGCCAACATTGTTCCTTTGTTTAAAAAGGGCAATAGAGATAATCCATAAATTACAGGCTAGTGAACCTTATGTCAGTGATAAGGAAAGTATTGGAGAAGATTCTTAGGGATAGGATTTACTCACATTCGGAAGAATATGGAAATATTAGTGATAGCATGGCTTTTTACAGGGCAGGTCATGCCTCACAAACTTGGTTGAGATTTTTTAGAGGAAGTGACAAAGATGATTGATGATGGCAGGGTGGTAGATATTGTCTATTTGGGCTTTTTAGCAAAGCTTTTTACAAATTCCATCATGGCAGGCTGATACCAAAAGCGAAGTCACATGAGATCCTCAGTGAGCTGGTAAAATGCATACAGAACTGGCTTAGACATGGAAGACCAAGAGTAGTGGTGGAAGGGTGACTTACTGACTGGAGATCTGTGACCAGTGGTATTCCGCAGGGGTCTGTGCTGGGACTCCCATTGTTTGTAATATATCCATATACATATAAATGATTTGGAGGAGAATGTAGGTAGCCTGATTAGTAAGTTTGCAGACAACACAAAGATGGGGGAGCTGCAGATCATGAGGAGGATTGCAAGAGTTTGCAGCAGAACAAAAATAGTCAGAAGACTTGGGTGGAGAAATGGCAGATGAAGTTAAATCCAAGGTGATGCATTTTAGAAGATCTAATGCAGGAGGGAAGTATTCAGTAAATGGCAGAATCCTTCATAGCATCGACATAGAGAGGGATCTAGGCATATGAGTCCACTGTTCCCTGAAAGTGGCAACACAAATGGATAAGGTGGTTAAGAAGGTTTATGGCATGCTTGTCTTCTTCAGTCAGGACATAGAATATAAACATTGGCGAGTCATATAGAACTTTAGTTGGAACCACATTTAGAATATAATGTACTGTTCTGGTTGCCACACTACCTAAAGAAAATGGAGACTTTGAAATGGTTTACCAGTATGTAATCTGGTTTGGAGAGTATTAGTTATGAGGAGAGATTGGAAAAACTTGGATTGTTATCACTTGAAGGTTGAAGCATGGAGGGGCTACTTGATAGAAGTTTACAAAGTTATGAAAAACATGGATAGAAGGATTGTTGGAGTCTTTTTCCCAGGGTAGAAATGTCACTTACTAGGGATCATATGTTTATGGTAAGATGGGGTAAATTTAAAAGAGAAGTTAGAGGCAAGGTTTTTTACACAGTGTGTGCTAAGGAGGCTACAGTATCAATGTTTAAGAGGAATCTCGACAGATAAATGAATAGGCAGGGAATAGAGAGATATGGACTGTGTTGATGCGAAAGGTTTTTAGTTTGGAAAGGCATCATGCATCAGTGCACTCTTGGTGGGCGATAGAGCCTGCTCATTGTAATTGGTTCTTTGTTGGATGTTCCCAATGACAGAAGAGTCTGGAACCAGGGGTCAAAGTTTGCAGATATGATGTAAGCCATTTAGGATGGAGAAATACTGTCACCCAGAAAGTGGGAAGCATGTGGTATTCTTTGCCACAGAAAGCGGTTAAAGCCAAAACATTGAATGTTTTCAAGAAGTAGTTAGTAGTTCTTGGGACTAAAGAAATCAAAGGATATGGGGAGAATTCGGACACTGGATACGAAAAAAAAAACAGAAGTTTCTGGAAAAGCTAGCAGGTCTGGCAGCATCTGTGAAGAAAAATCAGAGTTGATGTTTCTGAGGAAGGGTCACTGGACCCAAAACATCAACTCTGATTTTTCTTCACAGAAGCTGCCAGACCTGCTGAGCTTTTCCAACAACTTGTTTTTTTTTTCCTGATTTATAGCATTCGCAGTGTTTTCGGTTTTTAACGGGATACTGAGTTGGACGATCAGCCATTGAATGACAAAGCAGGCTCAGTTGGCCAAATAGCCTAGCCCCCGCTCGTATTTTCTATTTTTCTACGTTTCTATTAAAGAGCTGGGACACCCACAATGCTTCTTCCTGCTCAATCCCTCTCTCCACTTTTGCATCTGCATCTGGGAGTGGACATTAAATGCAATGCCTAATATTAATTGTAATCTTCCTCAACTGAGAGTCTAGTGGCTAGTTACTGTGAGAAGAAACTAAGTAAACATAATCAAAGTGCAATTGTCCGTATTAAAAAATATTGGCCGTACCATTCCCCAGTGGTGCTGCTTACCTGATTTTCTTTGCTAAGGTTTCTTATCTAGGCACATAATTTCCTTTCATTCACAAGCTTGCTGATCAAAAGGAAGGTTAGTCCCACAGGAATCAGGTTTGTTGTTCTTCACCATTTTTATTAACTACCTTGGTGAGGGTAATGGGAAAACTGTCATAATGTTTGCGGATATAAGTGGGTTCCCTGGATAATTTAAAAAAATATTTAGTGCTCCATTGATATAGTTTCACATCATTTGTACTGCACTTAAAATTTAATTAGTACTCCAGAGTCATGTTAAATCACTTTCAATGAGTACCAGACTGGATAGCAAGCTTCACTGCTACATAAATGCAAGTGTGTGTACTTTTAGATTAAAAAAAGACAAAAGGTTTGCTTTACTATACATTTTGCAGATTTATGCATTTGGTTATATTAATGTGCATCTATGACTTGGAATAAGTTAGAATCATCAGCCTGTTTCAATTGGAAACAATAATATTTAGGAGGTCCACTTCCCAGTTGTGCAGAGACAGCAGGATAAGATTCAACTAGAACAGGATAAGCAAGTGTCAGTTGCTGATCCTTGAAATATGCAAGGTTAATTTTTTTGGATGTCATAAAGTTAGAGGCAGCAGAGGCAATTATAAGTGACGTCTGCCAGTAGTTTCAATGATTGCATCTGTATCTTCCCAAGTGGGACTCTGTCGACCATCCCTCAAAATCAAAAAGTCAAAATTAGCAATTTTTTTTCTGTGATAAATTGCT